CGCCCTCCGCCGCCGGCCCGCTCCACATGCACTCCGCACCTTAGTATTTCACTTCAGCACTGTGCCTCCTCTGAGTCTGGGTATGGTTTCCTCTTTCCTCCTAGTTGTAGAACTTCCACTCAGCCAGCCTTCCTGTAGTTCTGGATGATGTCCGTTCCGTGTTTTAGTTGTATTTTTGAAGTGGTTGTTCGAGGCAGCAAACTCCGGCGTTAACCTATGCCGCCATCTTGGTTCCTCAAGTTTTTGCACAGCTCTTGACACAATCCTCCATACTGAGTAATTTACCTGTCTCTATGTTGGCTGTATTTTAAACTTAATTTTTTGAAAGAAATTATTGAGGAGATTGAATATTGGAAAGATTTTATTTTCTCAATATATTTAAGAAATCAATATTGTAAAAACTTCTCTTTTGCCTTTAAACTTTACATCTGTAACAGTTTTGAAATTTTATCCATTTACCTCTTTATCTCTACATAGAAGTTTCTCTCTAATCTGCATTTACTGTGGTGATTTCTCATAGGTTCAGAGAGGATTAGTGATCTACGTGTGCTTTTTCAAGGGAGCTGATAAAGAACTTCTTCCAAAAATGGGTACGTTTTTGATGTTGTTTCTTTTTTGAGTGAGAATGTATAGCAATAGATAGATAAGTTTCCTGGGGCAAAAGGCACAATCTTAAATTTACTGGCAAGTTGTAAATGACTTAATTCTGTACTGTTGTTGACTTTAGCTGTTTGCCTATTCCAAAGTTTAAAGTAAAGAAGTGTGGTGGAATTCTTTTAAACTTATAGAATGGTGTGTGTGTTCTCTCTCTCTCTCTCTCCCTCTCTCTCTCTCTCTCTCTCTTGCCAAAACTTGTTGGAAGCAGGGTGGCCACATATAGGGAGAAACAGATGCTGCATTTCTTAATATCGTTTTCTTATCTCCCAGAGTCCCTAACAGGAGCATGTAGGTGACATGGGATGCATAAGATGTGGCTCCTTCAAATCTGGACAGCTCAGGTTGGCATCATTATTATGGGAGAATTTATATTAACCCTTTATGCATTTATTTGTAGGAAATGTGTATAAATATAAGGTTCTCTAATTCTTGAACCAAGCTCAGTGTCGTGACATCCACATCTCATCCAGGGGCAGAGAAAGCAGAGTCAATGTTTAAGCATCTCTGAACGATAATTGACCTGCTGCAGCCTTCCAGTGTACTGGATGGTCCATAGCACTGCCCATTCTGTGTGATATTTACATAAATACAGTCTCAAGACAGTATTTGATATAATAAATATGTCCCCCCAAACCCTAAAATAATGGCGCTATCCCTAAATTGGGGACTGGTTATATTCTCTTGATGAATGAAGGACAGTACCCATTAGTTTGATTAATAAGACATAAATTACACAAATGGGTAGTTGAAGCATGCATGCAGAAGTTAACCTAAAAGAGCTTCAAGTAGTGGAACTCCAGGGTAAATAGCTCAATGAAGAACAGCTTAAACGAACGGCTAAAACGCCTAGAGGGAATTTTATACTAAGACATCGAACATGTTTGACAACTTGTCCAAGGATTAAAACTAGACTTAAGGGACCTACGATAGGTGAGAATGGAAAGCCAGTAACTGTAATGGTTTAAAATTTGAATCTAGAGGATAACAGGGAGCTTAGAGAACATGAAATGAGGGCTCCTGTTACAGAGGGTTATTTGCCAGGACCTAATGCTTGGGAATTACACATTCTGTCCATTTTCCTGAGTTAATATTTTTCCTTGAATTAAATCTTTACTAATCATAAAATAGTATAGTAGAAATCTTCAAGAACAGGAAGAGAATTTTTGTCCTTGTGATGTAAGATTGATGTCCTAAAGTTGTTTTTATATATTTTTAAATGGATCTTAGTTATAAGATGAAATGAACCAACCACATCCAAGCTGCATTTTGTTTTATAATAGTCAAATCCTGCGTGCTTCCAAAAATAATCTTCCTGAGTTCACTTTGAATACATGTATAAATTATGGTGAATTACAAACACTGAGGAGGTTCGCCTTAACTCTTTTAATGAATAGTTTAACACAAAGCTTTACTAGTGTATATCATGATTCTCAGTAAAGAACTGTGACTGTAAGAATCACATTCTGCTGGTGTCAGTTATAAGCAAAATAAGTCCATCTACTATGGATAGCATTAGCTTGAATTTCCCTCTATTCCAGGAGGCAAAGTAAGCCTGTATGATGGGATTCTCTTCAACCCCACCTCATACTTATTACATGGATTCAGATCTTTCCAATCAAATCATGTGCCCTTGGGAACATAACAACCAGTTATATCCATAAAGGCTGAAATAGCATGGCTAACAGATGTGCCAAATCTTCCTCAATTCATCTTCAATATAATTGGCCTGAGATCCAGGGACCTGTCAAAACTTAACTTTCTGTATACATCATTAGAGATACTTGATTGATAACCTGTCTTGGGATCGTTGAGTTTCCAACATGCCATTAATGCATGACCTCATTTTAATTCTATTTACTGACAGTTTGTATTTATATTTATTTCTGCATACTGATATTCGTATATCAATAGCATTCATTTAATTCTCAGTTATAGCCTATAGAGGTAGGTGTGTAGAAGTATAATAAATTGTACTTACCTCAAAAAAAATTGTACTAACCTCTCTGGCCTTTTATTCCAAAATTACCTCCCTACTCTGTTACTGGCCTGAGGCCTGGATAGCTAGATGGTGCGTTCCGCTGGAATGAAGGGCTCTGGAGAGTTACTGTTTCCTTGGAAGCAGTCAATCAGGACTGCTGGCTATGCAGCAAAGTCCTATTTGTAATAGAGAATAGTAGTGATATTTTAAAATAGATGTAAGTTAAGTGAAAATTGATAGTGCTTGCCCTGGCCAGGTGCACAGTTGGTTGGAGCATCATCCTATACACCAAAAGGTTGCAGGTTCGATTGCTGGTCAGGGCACATACCTAGGTTGTGGGTTCCATCCCCTGTCGGGGTACGTACAGGAGGCAACCGATCATAGTTTCTCTCTCACATCCATGTTTCTCTCTTTCTCTCTCTTCCTTCTCTCTCTCTAAAATCAATTTAAAAAAACACACATATCTTCCAGTGAGGATTTAAAAAAAAAAATGGGTAGGAGTTCATTTGGATGGACAGGTTTTTACCAGGTTAATTTCCTGATTTGTCCAGTGGGGCAATCATACTGAATCCTTACTAATATTTACTACAGACTCCATGATAATTGAAAACATTGACTAGCCCACCAGAAAACATACTTTTTCAAGCCTAATTATTGGGCAGGAATATGAGTTTTATATAGTTTATTTTACCATTTGTCCCCTCAGAACTATTGTTTACAAGCAGAAGCTATTTATACTTTACTAAAAGCCAGGTGCACGAATTTGTGCACTGGAGGGGTCCCCTGGCCTGGCCAGCGATCGAGGCCTTTAGGGGGGCCAGCCAGCAGGGGGGAGGGGCCATGGGAGGTTGGCTGTGGGAGCACACTGACCACCAGGGGGCAGCTCCTGCATTGAGCATCTGCCCCCTGGTGGTCAGTGCGCATCATAGCGACTGGTCAACCGGTCGTTCCGGTCGTCTGGTCCTAATGGTCGCTTAGGCTTTTATATATATAGATAGAGAGAGGAAGCCAGGTGCACGAATTTGTGCACTGGTGGGGTCCCCTGGCCTGGCCAGCGATCGAGGCCTTTGGGGGGCCAGCCAGCAGGGGGGAGGGGCCATGGGAGGTTGGCAGTGGGAGCACACTGATCACCAGGGGGCAGCTCCTGCATTGAGCATCTGCCCCCTGGTGGTCAGTGCGCATCATAGCGACTGGTCAACCGGTCGTTCCGGTCGTCTGGTCCTAATGGTCGCTTAGGCTTTTATATATATAGATAGAGATAGGAAGATCCTAAGGCTATGTATATTAGGCATTTCTTTGGTTTATTGTTTTGAAAATGGCTAATGTTGAGATCTAAAGATTTTGTACGTTTAGAATTTTTGGTACACATCAATGTTTATGGTGATTGTGATACTTCTTATTAGCTATCAGTATTAAATTCTTAAGTGCCGTAAAAATAATTTTTTAAAAATATATTTTATTGATTTTTTATAGAGAGGAAGGGAGAAGGATAGAGAGTTAGAAACATCGGTGAGAGAGAAACACCGATCAGCTGCCTCCTGCACAACCCCTACTGGGGATGTGCCCGCAACCAAGGTACATGCCCTTGACCCAAATCGAACCTGGGACCTTTCAGTCCGCAGGCTGGCGCTCTATCCACTGAGCCAAACCGGTTAGGGCCATAAAAATAATCTTGTGTGTAAATAAAGATATGCCAGTAACTCTAAACCTTTTGATTTATTTTTCAGTTGTAACAATGAATTTCTGATGATTCTTCCTTTCACTTTTACTCTTCTCCCATGGGTTATATTTGTAAAATGGTTAGTCCATATTAATAGGGCCTTTGAGATTATGAAATAATTGTAAATCAGCTGGTTTATAATGGAATTGAAACTGGTACTTTTGTTTCAGCTTAGAACTCTATGCAACTAAGTTTAAAATAATAAATGCACTAAGGTTTTTATTTAATACTAGAGGGCCAGTGTACGAATTCGTGCACCAGTGGGGTCCCTAGCCTGGCCTGCGGGATTGGGCCGAAACCGGCTCTCCGACATCCCCTGAGGGGTCTCGGATTGTGAAAGGGTGCAGGCCAGGCCAAGGGACCCAACCGGTGCACGATTGGGGCTGGGGAGGGACACGGGAGGTTGGCCAGCCGGGGAGGGGCCGCATAAGGGCTCCAGGGCATGTCAGGCTCATCTTGCTCAGTCCCAATTGACCGGACCCCAATAGCAAGCTAACATACTGGTTGGAGCGTCGCCCCGCTGTGGTCAGTGCATGTCATAGCAAGCAGTTGAGCGGCCTTAGCACATCATTAGCATATTATGCTTTGATTGGTTGAACCGACAACCAGACCCTTAGCATAAAAAAATTTTTTTAATTTATTGGTTGATTTTAGAGAAAGAGAGGAGAGAGAAACATTGATTTGTTGATCCACTTATTTATGCATTCATTGGTTGATTCTTATATGTGCCCTGACTGGGGATTGAACCTGCAACATGGCATATCGGAACAACACTAAACAACTGAGCTACCTGGCCAGGGCTAATATCTATAATAATAAAAGAGTAATATGCTAATTAGACTGGATGTCCTCCCAGATGTCCTTCCGGACGATCTTCCGGATGACCTTCCGGACAAAGCCGGGGCTGCGAGGGAAGCCCGGGTCCCGGGTGCCAGAGGGAAGCCAGTGCCGGCAGCCCGAGGAAGGAAGGCCTACTCTTGCATGAATTTCGTGCATCGGGCCTCTAGTTCTTTTATAAAGCAGAATTTGGTGCTTTATAGAGGAGGATTTATCACGGTATTTTTCTAATGCTGTTTGCTAATGAAATGTAAAAAGGAACAAGAAGGCAAAATCTTCTCATGTATCTGCCTGGGGCAACAATATAGGGTGTTCCAAAAAAAACGTATACACACTTTATCAGCTGACAACTCACTTAATTTTCACTTCTTTTCAGATTTAAGTGATTTGAAATAATGCAAGAAGCCAGACTAAGCTTTGAACAAAGAAAATTTATCCTAAAGCGTCACTATACTTTTTTTTTATGGGGATACATAAAAGATAAAGTTTATAGTACAAAGCCCGGCAACAGTTGACGAATTGAGGGCACACAAACATTGAACAAAATGATTCTTGATGTTTTTGATACCATTGCTTCGAGTTATCAGCAGTGCCTGGACCAGAAAGGTCATCAGTTTGAAAACAGGCATTGAAAAAAAAAAAAAAGTATTCATCTCTGTAGATTCTTTTAAATTTTAAAAATAAGCTGATGTAAATTAACTGGCTTTATAATCATTCCAAGTGTGTTATACATTTTTTGGGACACCCTGTATTTTGAGGTTTCAGTATACAGTTATTTTAGTTCTTTCCGGATGAACTATTGTTAGGAGATCTTAACTGCCAAGTCACACTTAAAGCATTATGCCATTTTCTGCATAAAATTTGCCTTGTTTTTCATTCTTTGATCTTTTAGCTTAGTGAAGCAGTTTTTAAAATCTAAATAAAGACTTTGGGTAAAAAGCATGAACTGAAAAACTGTGTTTTAAATATGAGATTTGCTGACTAGAGAATTGTCGGTTTTCTTTTTTTTTCTTTTCTCCATTTGTTTTTCACTTCTAAGCATTTTTCCTTTCTTCCCCACCCAGTTAATACACTGTTAAATGTGAAATTAAGCGAAACAGAAAATGGCAAGCTCGTCTCTATATTGGATCTACCTGGCAACGTTCTCATCATTCCTCAAGCCACCCTTGGGGGGAAAGTGAAAGGAAGAAGCATGCAGTATCACTCTAACTCTGGGAAAGAAGAAGGGTTAGAACTCTATTCCCAATTTGTGAGTCTCTGTGAAAAAGAATTGGCTGCAAACAGCAAGTGTGCTGAAGCTGGGGTTGTGGTGGAACATGGCACTTATGGGAACAAGCAGGTGTTAAAGCTGGATACCAATGGACCATACACACACCTGATTGAGTTTTGAGAAGTTAAAAGTTTCTACAGTTGTTTTCTGGTATGAAGTGATCCAAACCATAATTAGATTTACCTTGCCCCTCTTCTTCTTGAATATGATAATCTGAAGCATTTTTAGACAAGAAAATCCTGGGTCCCATCCATAACTCTGCAACCTGCTAATTGAATGAACTTGCCAATCACTTGTACTCTGGATCTCAGTCACCTTTCATTCTGCTTTCCCCTACACTTCGACTTGAAATTTTGAGAAATGCTTTCTATTCACTTTATGGTCATTGTGGAAATGTTCTTAGCTGTATGTATTTTGTAAATGAAGAGTTCTGTGCAATCAAGAAAAATATATTTCTTATACCCTCAAATTTATGTAGTATGTAATAAAAATAACCATTAAAATTAGTTAAAATCCAGCACAAACCAATTATAATCTTGTCAGTTTTGTTTTACTATTCAGTTTTCTATATTTTGAATGAAAAAATATGCAATTTACTATTCTTTTTAATACCTATGAAAATGTAATATAGAAATGTTACTGTGTATTATAATATTACTTTCCAAGGATATCAAAGTGTTTTTAAATTATTTTAAGAATCTTTATTTGGTATAGGAACAAGGTATGGGGAATTAAAAGTTGTTTTTATTTACTATATCAATGGGTTACTATTCTCTTTCTCAGTTTTTTCCAATGCAATGTATGTCTCATTTTTTCTCTGTCATTTTAAAAAGTATATGCTTCATGAAAGTATTGTTCATTTATAATTTTTAAGGAAGTTCCTTTCTTACTGAATTAGATAGCTATAAAAGGAAGACAAAGGGAATTTTTGGGAAACAAGTTCACTTGTTCATTTCTGTATTATCTACTTAATGGTTTGAAGCCCGTGTAATTTTTTCCTATTAGTGAATGTCTCTGTTCTCCCTCCTCCACCTCCACCCCAGCAAAATTTATATGTTGAAGTTCCCCAATATGATGGTATTAGGAGATGGGGCCCTTTGGGAGTAATTAGGGGTAATGAGGTCATGAGAGTGGAACCTTCATGATGGGATTAGCACCCTCATGAGAAGAGACACCAGAGAGCTGGCTCCCTGTCTCCCCACCACGTGAGGATGCAGTGAGAAGAGGACCATTTATAAACTCGGAAGAACCCTTACCAGAAACTGACCGTGCTGCCACCTTGGTCTCAAACTTCTAACCTTCAGAACTATGAAAAAATAAATTTCTGTTTAAGTCACCTCGTCTGTAGTATTTTGATATGACAGTCCAAGCTAAAACAGATAGCTAAAGGCAAGTGAGGAAGATATATAAGAACCTGAAAGAATAAATGAATCAATAAAATGTAATACTCTGTTTTTGCAAACTCCTATGATATGATTTTAAAAGATATTTTAAATAGTAAAAAGCAAAAACCAAATAATTCTAATCATCAAAAAGATGAAGAAATTAACTTGAATAAACTTAAGTACTAGCTGCCAAAAATTCTTAGTCTTACCAGTTCCTTAGGCCAGTGTTCCTAAGACACTTAAAATTTTTATCACACACAAAAACACATATTTCTCTATATTCTTCCTATACTATTTTATTTTGGAAGTTGAGAATCAATAACTGGCTTGGTAATGAACTCTTTGTCCTTAACTTTTGCTTTATTGATTCAAAATGCATTTATTGAAATATAATAAACTATTCATAAACTTGCAAACTCCAGTTTTCTCAAAGTTTCTACAAGGAGGTATATATGTCTTTCAAAAAGATTATGTGTTTTCTATTTTAAATCATTTTGATTTTGTGTGTAGGTAAAATGCTGACTCACAGCCCTAGGCTGCTATTTTATAGTTCAGGCAATTGTTCTTTAAAAGAAAAAATTGCTTGAGAATAGCAATTTCAACCACATGAAAGGTTATTAAGTGGAAAGTGATGACCAACTTTGTTTTATTTCCAAGGAGACTAGAACAAGAGGCAAATGGCAAGAGAATTCATGGATATGAAAATAATTACACCTTGGTTTTCTGTAGCTCTTCTGGCCCAAGATGCTCAAAGAACCTTCAATAAATATCTCATTTTATCTTCCCAGTATATAATGAGGATAGTGCTGTGGAAATGAAGACAATGCTTAAATAATTTTCTCAAGATCACACAATAGGGAGGGATAATTTCCATCTTCCTGATTTTTCTTGTAAGAATTATTGAAATTGATCTTGATAAAAGTTTAGCATCTCTCAGTATTGGTCATTTGATAAAGAATAGCCAATAAATTGGTTTATTTACTAAATTGGGTGGCAGAGTTATGAAATAAGACAAGGATGGAATATAGACAATAAATTGTAATAACTATGTATGGTGTCAGGCATGTACTAAACTTATTGTGAACAATATATAAGGTATATAAATGTCCAATTACCACAATATTGTGCACCTGAAACTAATATAATATTGTATGTCAACTATAATTTTAGAAGGATTCCAAGATGGTTCCAAGCTACACTCACCCACTCCGGGCCCCAAACCAGATTTACAACTAAATTACAGAGCAATCAACCTGAATAACTAACTGAAATATCCTATCCAAGGATTTACAGAAGCCACATAGAGACTGGTAAGTAGGGCAGAGATTCCAAAAGGGTTAGTCCCCAAACCCAAGTGTGGCAACTGAGAGGCCAGAAGGATATCGGCTGTAAAACGCCCTGTTTCCCTGAGCATGGGGTCTCAACCCCATACAGGGACCCCCAATTCAGAGCAACAGAGATAGGAAGAGGAGCCCAAAAAGCATCGGGTGGTGAAGGTCAGTGGGGATTCAGTCGCGCGGGAGACCCAGACACCACCTTCCCAGGGATGAGCACTCTGTTGTTACAGCAACATCCTGGGGAGTGGACCAGCATGCTCAGTTCCGCAGAGCCTGGTACTGGCATAAGAACAGGCATATAGTTCAATGGAAGAAAGCATTGAGCCCAGAAATAAACCCATGACTTTATGGTCAATGAATATTTTGACAAAGGACGCAAGAGCATACAATGGAGTAAAGACAGTCTCTTCAATACACTGAGTTGAGAAAATTGGACAGATGATACATACAAAAATGAATTAGACCACCAACTTACAGCATACACAAGAATAAACTCAAAATGGATAAAAGGCAAATATAAGTCATGAAACCACAAAAATCCTAGAAGAAAGCATAGACAGTAAAATTTCAAACATCTTGTAGCAATATTTTTGCCAATACCTGGTTTATCTCCTCAGGCAAGGGACACAAGGGGAAAATAAACAAATGGGACTATATCAAATTAAAAAGCTTTTACACAACAAAGGAAACTATCAACACAATGAAAAAAGAACCCACTGAATAGGAGAACCTATTTGCCAACAATACACCTGATAAGGTGTTAATCTCCAAAATATATAAAGAATTTATGCAACTCAACAACAGGAAGGCAATCCAGTTCAAAAAGGGGCAGCCCTAGCCGGTTTAGCTCAGTGTATAGAGTGTCAGCCTGCTTGGGCCTGCCCTCTGCCACCCGGGAGCAGGCCTAAGCAAGCAGGGCATTATCTCCCGAGGGGTCCCAGACTGCGAGAGGGCACAGGCCGGGCTGAGGGACCCCCCCTTCCCCCCGAGTGCACAAATTTTTGTGCACCGGGCCTCTAGTGATAAAATAATAGATCTCTGAGTCCTTACCTATTAATTTACTGAAATAAGACTAGTTTCTGAAAAACTAGAAAACTAAAATTTTCATTCTGAAGTCACACTGTGATGACTTTACATGTCCATTTTGATAATCCCCTAATTATTCTTCCTCCTATTTCTCCTTTCTCTAATCCTTTCTTGCAGACAATCTTCAAGGTAATATTCCTAGAACATTCCTTTCCCTATGATATTCTACTGTTCAGAAACTTATAAATCTTTTTTTTTTTAATCTACAGGGCAAAGTCTAAACTTCTGAGGTTGGCATAAAGGTTCTTCACACTCCAGGAGTGAATGAAATCCTGCAGAGTAAACTTTAGAAGACCAAAGTCAGAATTTTGAGAAAACATAAGGAAAAGGCAACATAATCAGAGGCCAAAGGACACTACAGTAGTCCACCTTCTCCCTTGCAGCCCCGGCTTCGTCCAGAAGTTGTCTGGGCAGTTGTTCTGCCGTTTGGTCTAATTAGCATATTAGCTCTTTATTATATAGGATAGTCACTTTATGTTATCTTAAGGTTCACTTTATAGTATCTTTCTAGTACAGTATAACTTTAATGTAATAGCTGTGTACCTTAAAAAGGTATATAAAAAACAAGTCATTCTTAAAATACAGAAGGGAAAAACTACTTCATCTAAGAAAACCTGAATTGAGTCCTTTGTAAAACAAACCTTGTGAACCAAATAAAAATGTCTTTATGTTATTTGTAAATATGAATTTTTATGCAACAAGCTCTATTAGACTCCTCTATATTTAATACAAAATAAAGCAGTTCTGTAGGCTGCATCAAAAATAGCCAACTTTGTGATAAATATGGCCCTACTTCCTTTTATTGGGCTTTTCCATTGAATGAATTATTTGCACTGGGTTAGCCAGCATTTTTTTTCCTTAAGCTTTAATAAAATTTGACCTATTGCATCAGCTTTTTATCTAAATGTGAAAAGAGCAATTTATGTTGAAAATGCACCACACCCTATGTAACAGTATCTGAGAACCATTAGCTAATACTGTCATAAACAGTTGAGGTTGGGAAAGTAATTGCAGACTTTTTTTAATCTGAAATTGTAGGGAGATTTTTAGTGAATGTCTGACCATACTAGCAAAAATGCCATCCTTGGATCCAACTTTGAGATACTCTTCACTTAGTTTTGTACTAACATAGGTAAACTAAGACACACTTTGTACTCCAGGCACTTCTTTTAAGAATATTTTTTTTAAATATATTTTATTGATTTTTTACAGAGAGGAAGGGAGAGAGATAGAGAGTTAGAAACATCAATGAGAGAGAAACATCGATCAGCTGCCTCCTGCACATCTCCTACTGGGGATGTGCCCGCAACCCAGGTACATGCCCTTGACCGGAATCGAACCTGGGACGTTTCAGTCCGCAGGCCGACGCTCTATCCACTGAGCCAGCCGTGGGCAAACTACGGCCTGCGGGCCGGGTTCGGGCCCATTTTAAAAGAAAAAAAACAAAAAAAAAAAAAAAAAAAGACCGTACCCTTTTATGTAATGATGTTTACTTTGAATTTATATTAGTTCACACAAACACTCCATCCATGCTTTTGTTCCGGCCCTCCGGTCTAGTTTAAGAACCCATTGTGGCCCTCGAGTCAAAAAGTTTGCCCGCCCCTGCACTGAGCCAAACCGGTTTCGGCTTAAGAATATTTTTATTGATTTTTTAGAGAGAGGAAGGGAGGGGAAGGGAGAAATAGAAACATTGATGAGAGAGAAAAATCATCGATCAGCTGCCTCCTACAAGAGCTCACAACCTGGGCATATGCCCTGACCAGGAATCAAACTGGTTCCTGGGTTGATGCTCAACCGCTAAATCACATCGGCCAGGCAAGGCACTTTTAACTTACTGTGCAGTCCCATGAGAAGATGTAATCATCTTCAGAGTTTAGTTTGCTCAGTGCCTAGATTATCCTCTCTCCTGATTGCATTCAGGTAGTTCTCATGGCTTTGATTTATTTTCATTATATGCATACTTATCTTTCGTAAGCCAGATGTTGAAAATGTTCTGACATTTGCTTATTACTGCATCAAGATAGTTGCCCTCCACGTAAAGACTGTATTCCTGCATCTCACCCTTGACCTACTGAATCAGAAATTCTGAGAAGGGGCCTGAAAACCTGCATTTTAATGGGCACTTTTAGCATCTGAGAACTGAACCAAGCATCAAGAGGCCTCTGTTGTAGTCTCAGTTTTCCCCATGGATGGTGTGTTATACTACCATAGGTGATCTCAAGCCCTCCAGGAGGGCTCATCCCAAAAGGGAGGGATTTGTACTTGACAATTCTAAGATCCTGCTCAGCACTATCATTTTGTGGAAGTCTGAAAACTGAACCCTGTAAATTAGAAGGAGTTGTTTAAACTTTAATCAGAGGAACTGGAAAAAATGTTTAGGTTTGTATTCATTTAAGCTACAATTGTCTCTTTTAATTCAACTTGCATGTGAATTACTCTTCAAAATAACTAAATTCTTTCTGCATCTCATGAGTTTTCATTTGGTTTTTAAAAACTTAGAGTTTTAAAAGCTTAGATTTCAATTTTTTAAAAGTTAGAATGAGCTTCAGACGTTTCACTCAGCCCTTTGCCATTCCATAGCTCCATGTTTCCTTGGTGA